TGTGTGTGTGTGTGTGTGTTTTGTGTGTGTGTGTGTGTGTGTGTGTGTGTGTGTGTATTCCAAGTCTGTTTTTGACCTGCATTTGCTTTTCAAAGTCACCAAAATCCAAGTAAAGGGGGTAAAAGAGTGGCCAAGCATACTTTTCAGAACTAGCCCTGGAGGGACACATGTTTGTGTATTTCCGCGTTATATTCAGAAACCAGTTGCTTGGGGCAAGAGTATTCTACACTTTCTCCTCTCCCTGCTGGTGTGCCCCCTAAGCACTCTACCTTGGGACAGGAGCCTGCTCAGCATTCAAGCCACTTACAGTTTATGCACATTTGTGATCTTATGCCTGACAGAGAGAGATACTGAACCTCCCAGGCAGCGAGCAACACTGGGAACAGAGACACTAGGACTTTCAGAACTTTCTAAATGCACAACTCCAGACTGGCCTCCTGCAATTTAAATATTTAATGTCAGTTGACTTTTCCTCTGTGCTGTCTGGGCTGGCAGGGCATGCTGCTGGACTGTCCTTCTGCCTGGAAGTTGGGGCTTTGTGTTGAAGTGTTCTGAGAAGGAGTTTGTTTTAGGTGCCCCAAAGTCACTTTAGGAAGTAGACCTCCCCAGGAATTGAGTCTTGTCTGCAGAGTACAAACACCCAGAGGACTTATGTCAAAAAGCATTTGGGGAACAGTTTTGGTGGAATTTTAAGTTGAAGATTGACTTTCAACTCTGGGAAGGAAGTCGATTAAGTTTGTATTATAAAATAAAACACACTTGCCTAAATTGTCAGTGGAACTATAGAGAATTCATGACATTTAATGTATTTAATACCACCAACAAGATGTGACCTGCTTTCTGATTGGCTACTGCTGGACAAGGACTTGTGTTTTTCTAAAAGCTGGGTTGTCTTTATCACTACTATTTTTTTAATATGCATCATAGATGTTAAATATAATTGCTGCTACTGTGGCTCTCTCTAGAAGCCAGTAGCTATTATGAAGTGGAAACTCTGTTTTGGTTAGGGTGGTGAGCTGTTGGCAGTAAATGATATTTGTGTGTGTTGTTTGGGTGTTGCTTTGTGTGTGTATGTGTTACAGTTTGTAGCTTTTATTCAGATCTTTGCAACTATGTGTTGGAATCTTGAATTCCTGCATAAGTGACTGGTTGGCACAGTCTGCTTTCAGAATTATGGGTATAGAAAATGTTCAGACGTGTGTTAAAATTGTAGTCCAATCTTTTTTAAAGTTTTAAAAATTAATATTAATTAAAAGAGAGAACAACAACAACAAAAAGACCAAAGGCCACTGTGACTCAATTCTTGAACATCAACAGGATTTAAAAATAATCTGTGTGGAACTTACATCTTATAAAGTTTTTGAGGCCTTGCCCAGGGGTGTGCTCCATCCTGCAGGGAGGAGGATGGGGCTGTCTCTGCAGTCCAGGCACCCTGTGCCCTTCCTTAGTTCTGGGCAGCTCTGAGCTTGGAGGCTTCTCTGAAGATTCCCCTGCATGGCCCTCAAGAAAACAGGCAGAATGCAGTAAGCTTTCTTGTGTTTGTTTTGTGTTGGCATTTGAAAAGTGCTCTATTAGTAGCTTGTTTTTTCAAAAAGGGCACTTTTTTTTTTTTTTTTTCCTGAGAGCAGCAAAATTCAGGAACTCCTAACTTTTAGATTATGGACTATGACTTTCAAAGATTTTGCTCTGAGTAGAAACTGTTCCCTAGTTCCAGAACCAAGAGAGGAAGGCTTGTTATGACAGATCTTAAAGATTCTAAAAATCTGTCTGTGACAATAAAGCATGATAACCCACTTTCTAACGTGTACTAGAACCAGTCCCTGCACATTCCCCCCCTAATAAGCTCTTTTTTAAAATGATTATCCAAATAATTGACATCTCACCTCTTTTGATCATTGCTAAGCAATAAACAGTGTCATGAACCCAACCCCCCAAATTTGTTTTCATTTCATATGAAAAAAGGAATCCTCATCTCTCCTATGATGTTTAAGTGCGAACATGAAATGTTAAATTTTGATCATGATGTGTACTCAGAAAAAAATTACTTTTCATGAAAAAGTTGCAATGTTGCTTTACCTACTGTGATTATTTATGATAAAGCTGTTCCGAGCCCTGGAAAGTGATTGGTTACAGTAAAATACAATGCTACCCAGCGAGAGTTATCAATTGGTTCACATATAAAAAAATCAAACAGATTGTTGAATGTTTACTTTTAAAATTTGACCAATGCCTACAACCCTTTGGATGTTTCCCTCTCTTCCTCCTGGGCCCCACTTATGTGGTACATAATATTATTTGTTTAAACTCCTAATGCCACCCACCCCCACCCACCTGGGTAACACTCTCTCCATTCCTTTGGAACACAGACTTGGCTAGAAAGACATTATGGCAAATCAGTTTGTGATGGAGAAATCATAATAAAGTTTGTAGAGATTTCCTAGAAACCTCCTTTTTTAAATGGAAAGAAATTAGTATAGAAGAACCATGATGTTTACCTCCTCTCCTGACCCCCAGGTCATCCTCTCATGGGCATTTCTTCCAATTAAATCAAATCAAAAGTCTTTCAGATACTGGATAGTGTTAGTTTAAAAGAACATTTTTTTGAATTGGGAGTTTATGCCTATTTCTAACTTGCTTCTGTCACTTATTAACTAGTGAGTGTGGGTCTTGGTTTTCTCATCTGCAAATTAGCTGAAATACCTCTCTAATTTGGTTTTGTTTAGCATAAAAAAATATTATGAAACAGAGTAAAGGGTGCAGACATTATGATTATCATCATAATGATTATTTGCTCATGGTATTTAGTTCAACATCACAAATAGTACTGGAATAATCGGTGATTAAAAAAAAAAAAACACAAACTTGAAGGCCTGGAACCAATCAGTTTTGTTAAAAGTTAGCACTTAAGAGCAAGCAGTTCCTGGACAAAGTAGGTACTCAATTAACATTTGCTGACTAGCAGTCCATCAATCTATTAGATAAAAGTGGAGAGTGAGCTGTAAATTAGCAACCTAAGCAACCCAAATTCTGATGCTTTGTTTAGGGGCCTGGTACCTCCTGTGGAGCTACAGTTGCCCTGGGCATTTGTTTCCCAATCTCCTTAAAGTGTTCTCCCTACACCCCCCACATTGATTTTATGGTGAGGTCATCTAGATCTAATCTTTGTGGCAGAGCAAAGCAAGGGTGTAAGAGATTATTTGAAAAGAGTGCAAATGCATTTAAAAGCAAACAACAAAAAACAAAAATATAGTTTGAATTCTGCTGGCTGCAGCTGTGGAATAAAATGTCTTGGCAACATCAGAACTCAGTGAATTTGGGTAAGGAAATGGGGGCTGCCTTCTTCCCTTTCCTTTAAAATGAAGTAAGAGAAACTTTGATCTGGGGTCATTTTTGTTGTTCTTCACTGTAATTCCACAGTAGAAAAAAGGGTTACTTCTTCCATTGTGTATGCTACCATAAATTGACCCGATGCCTTCCAAAATTCATATATTTGAATAGTCTTGCTGTGCCAAATGTAGTTTGGAAGAATACAACTGCACAATTATACAGTTTAACATTGCACACTGAGTACAGTCAGGATATAAAAAAAAAATATGCTCTGAAGACTTCAGAATTTGCACTGTAAAAAGCTTCAATAAAAATAAAAACAATAAATATTTTTTTTTTACTTCCCGAGTTCTGTGCTGTAGGATGCAAATATTGGTGCTGCCTCTGAGAAACATCATAAGGAACATTACTTCAAGTGAAGGGATTTATCTGATGTTGGATTGTTATAGAATTGAAGAAAGTTTATCTAGTAGAGTTAGAAAAATCTTTGTTATTGTAGATAAGTTTCGGTCTTGTTTCCTCATTCAGATGACTAAAAAAAAGTCTTCATTTGCAGAAGGATTATTTTTAAATCATATATATTTATTTTTCATGTGGGCACCATGCTAATTTTAATAAAATACCCTAAAACACCAGAAGAGTGCCAGTCCCCTTATGTTTTGGGATTTGTTTCTTTTATCAGTATTACACATCCCATTCCAAAAGAGAAAACTGTGATTACAGTCGGAAGCAGTTCACACGAGGATTTTATTAGAATTCTTAGTGTTTAGTTTTACAGGATTTAATATGAACATTAAAAATGCTTAGAGACCTTGAAATTTAAATCTGCAGTTTCTCACCCCTTCTCAGCAGGACTCTCAAACTCCATGGGGAGAGGGTGGGAGGGGTAGGGGCTTCTCACCCCCTTTCATTCAGCTACATTTTTTATACACGCGGTCCCAGGGTTTCATGTCCTAACATCATGTTTATTCATGGAATAGCTTAGTATCATTGATGTTTGGATGGAATCTAGTTAAAATGAGATTAGGTATTTTGGATAGGTAGAAAAAGCGAAAAATGCTTTTGATAACTTGGGAGGATTGATCCCCTCCTCCCCCTAGAAATTCAGGAAGAAAAAAGTTTCTGGTCCTCTGAGGTATATGACTGATTTTCAGTGTTCAGAGAACTTTCCA